GAGAGAGAGAGAGAGAGAGAGAGAGAGAGAGAGAGAGGGAGAGAGAAAGAGAGAACGCGGATGCAGTGCATAATGCGGCGGAATGGATTAAAATACATCAATATATTTGCCAACGTAATTTGCTTCTTAATAATAATATTTCGCGAGAGCGAGAACCCCCACGCATACCCACCTACGCAAATCTTGCAGAATTTAATCCCCACTGCTACCACATTGATCAATTTTTCATACATCCACGCACGCATTCGCTATAGCACAGTAACAATTGATTTAATATGTAATTTATAACGCATAATTATGTAAAAAAATATGTAATTTTATTATTAACAAACGCATTTCGTATGTATTTGCGTTGTTTTAAGGTATGCATGCTTTCCTATTCATTTAGCGATGCCATGGAAATCCTTTGTTAGGGGTTGTGAGAAATTGAGGTAGGGTTTTTCTCGAGGTTTTTGTAAACAATTTTCGTTCGCGGCGGTGACCTCCAGACCTTTAATTTCGGATCCTTTATCGCAAGCTTGAGTAGGCCAAAATCGTTGGCGTTAGGTTTGCTTATAATATCTCGTAATTTTAACGTGAACATGAAATGGTAATATGTTTTATATTCTAGGACCAGCGTAACTAGTTAAGCGACTTGGTCGCGGGTATGAAGGACGAAAACAATTGTACGCTTCCGTAGAGTGGCCCCTCAAACACTCGAGTAACACTCGAACACTAAAATCATGGCCGCTACGGCGTTCACGCAGTTCCACGGCAAGAATGAGTGTGAGTGTGTGTGTGTGTGTGTGTGTGTGTGTGTGTGTGTGTGTGTGTGTGTGTGTGTGTGTGTGTGTGTGTGTGTGTGTGTGTGTGTGTGTGTGTGTGTGTGTGTGTGTGTGTGTGTAGTGTGTGTGTATAGATAGCTAGATAGATAGCTAGTATAGATAGATAGATAGATTAGAATAGGATAGATAGATAGATAGATAGAGTAGATTAGATAGATAGATAATAGATAGATAGATAGCTAGCTAGATTAGATAGTAGATTAGATAGATAGATAGCTAGCTAGAAGAATAGGCTATTATAGATAGGATAGATAGATAGATAGATAGATCGATAGATAGATTAGCTAGATAGTAGGATAGAAGATAGATAGATAGATAGATAGATACGATAGATGATCGATAGATAGATTAATTGTTCCGTTAGATATATGAGATTTTGTATTTTTCTGTTCACAAAACA